TCCTGCCCGTTTGTCGCCCCGAGGCGGCCGCGGATGCCGGGCTGGAGCCTCCCGGCTGCCGCAGGCCTGGGGCCCCGAGTCCGGGAGCCTCGTCCGGAGGGGCTCGGGCTCGCTCCTGCCGCCCATCCCGCTCCCGGCCGGGAACCTGCCTCAGGGCCCCGCAGTCAGTGAGCTGGGGCCGGGCGTGCACGGAAACTTCAGATTGCACGTTTTGTTTACAAGGAAAACGTCAGGATTTGTTGACTGCGTTTAGAGGCAGGAGGTGCTCGCTGTCCCTGCAGCCGTGCGGGGCTGCCTGGAGCGGCAGGGGTCGCGGGTGCCGGGCTGGATCTCAGGCTGGTGCTGAACAGCCCAGTCGGGATCTCGGGCTCGCGAGTCCCGCTGCCGCTTCAGGGTGCTCGAATCCTTTGTCTTTCATCTCTGCGCTTTGCTCATGCTTTCAGGAGTTTCAAGGGGTATCTTTTAGTCTTGTAAACCTGTTTGTTTGAAGACCGAAAGGAGTTTATGTAATCAGCCTGGATATTGACTGTGAAAGAGCTTTGGAGAGCACAGACAGCAGGGAGGGAAATAACTGGGTGATTCACTGGCAGTGTCCTTTGGGGACAGCAGACTTGTGCCCTTCAGTAAATGTCCGAGTGTTCCATCCCAGACTTTGCCAAATCCCCAGAACTGAAAGATGTGAACTAAATATTAGGAAGAAACCCCATTAAGTCCTACATTTTAAAATGTAAATAACTTTTTTTCTTGTTGAGATCTTTAGGATTCATATTTTCCTTGCTGCTTTTCTTTTTGCTGTGGCAACAAAAACAAGACACGCAGGTTTTCTTTTTTAAAGAAGGATTGGTTAGTTACTTGACATCAAAACCTGGGGGGATCTGAACAACATCGTGTAGAGGAAGAGTTGCCGTAAGAACATGGGAACTGATTACACTGACTGTATCAATTGCCATGTTGTACCATATTGCTGCACTGCCTGCCTGCAAACTGGTATGGGAAGTGCTGTGCTAAAATAGGGATCTGCCATGGAATGCTTTTCAAAGGTGAGATGTTTTCAGGCCGGAGCACACAGACAGGGTAGGCATAACCAATACTGAATCTGTTTGAAAAACTCCATGGAATAGCTGTCTTATGTTGTGGAATCATCCAGAGATCACGGTTGAGTTCCATTCACTGTGTAGCCTAATGCCTCTGCCCTGAAGGTGATAGTTTTTTCTACATTTAGATTTCTTTTTAGAAGTACTGCACTGTGGGTGAAGTTCAGTTAAAAGTTAATTAAATTAGTGAACCCTTTCCTGAGCATGTCGGTATACACAGCAGGTTTTGTCCTTATTATGCATGGAGAAAGACTTATGAAGTTATTTACCTTCAGGTGATATGCTAAACAGGAATCTGCTGCTTGTTTCTTACAAGGATTCAAAAATGGCATCATCAGAGAAGCTTGCACTAAGGTTTACTTGACTAGATTCATTTGGCTCTTCTTTCATTATGTCTGGTTACTTAGCTTCTTTGGTTTTATATGATCTTTAGAAAACGAAAATGTCTTTTATAATGAAGATACTGTAAGAAAATTTCTGTTCTATATTAGAAAATTAGAGTTCTTTATCTTGTACCACTCCTTCTACATTTCTACTTTTTGCAGTTCTACATTTGACTGCTGGTTAATATTTGAAGTCTAATGGGAGTATTAAAAGTAGCAAACAATTTAACTGACATGTTGGTATGCATCTTATATTTTTACATATACTTGAAGAATCTCCAAATAGGGTGTCCACACTGTCACAAACTATTTCCCAAATATTGAGCAGTACTCAGTTCTGAAGAGTTTACTATCTGAAGAGTCTGTAGATACAGAGTGGGGAAAAGATCAGTGAAAATTATTTGATTGCTAGACACATAGAACATACTGGGTGAGAGCACTTAAACACACTTCCTTGTCATCTTGTAATATTTCTTGAACTTTACATAAGCAAACAGTTCAGTATGTAATGAAGCGAATATTTATCTGAGATTTTTGGACAGAAGTAGCTCCTTAGGCACTGTCTGGAATTGCATTGCCTTTCTGTGTATTTTCATGCTAATTACAGTGTGTCAATATAGTGTGGTTGCTCTTTGGCTGTGCTGACCTCCAAATCTAACCTTGCAATACCACTGATTCCTTTGGGCCATGGCTCATCTAGCCCTGAACAGCTTCGGGGAACCCAAAAGATCTACCCTTATAAGCAAAGAGTTTAAAGTGCTTTTTTTGTGGCTTTATGCTTAAAACTGGAGCTAGATTAGCATTACAGCTAGTGCAGAGGGAAACAGGCAAAAATGTCTTTGTTGTGGCAAGGCACAACTGGGGAAGAGACATTACAAGGAGTAAAGTTGCATAAGAAGAGAAGGGGAGAGTTACATAAACAATTACCAGTTATGATGACTTGAGTCATGCTTCATCATATTTGGTGTTTTTAGGAAAGGTTAAGCTGTAAGGATTATACAAATAAATGAGAACCTCAGCATTACTTTTATAAGCCTCCTATTTGGGAAGCAGTAGAGACCTGAGGTAGAAGCTAAGGTAACACAAAGAAGAAAACTAGTATTCTCCCCATGATTATTTTAAAATCAAACAGGTTTTTCAGGTAAGAGTTGTTTATTGGTGAAAAGAGATTATAAGGAATTAAAATTTAGATAGATAGATCATTAGGAGATACATTTATAGACGGATCAGATTAAGAGAGAAGATGTTTTTTAAAAGCACTAGCGAATGTAATTTAAAATGTGCTTACTATTGAAATAGTTGCATTGTTACATAGTTACAGTTTTGGGTGGTATACCATTTCAGAAACCATATTAGGTGTTCACAGAGAAGTACAGGATGAACAACTTTTAGAGACAAGGGGTAGGTAGCACTGAGTGACCTAAACAGCAACTGACATTTCATGTACCTTTGGATAGTCTTCCTTGTCTTCTAGCTTCTCCTATGGAAGCAAGTCTCCCACTGTTTTCTGTCCTAGATCCTAGTAAATCTAGGGCTTATGAAATGTCACTAGATGACAGTGTTTAGGCACTGAGTCACTCCCAAACTGTGTTTATTACTTACTGCCCTCTTTGACCCTATTCAGAAATGGTGCTGAGCAAAGCACCTATGTGCTTTGCCTGTTACCCAGTTAGGCAACAAAAAGATTCTAATCAGGAGAACAATGACTAATCAGTGATGCTGTTTAGTGTGTCAGCTCGTATTTTTCAACATTGAAAGTATTATTTGTAATAATTTCATATGTAGTAATTTGAATGCTGCAAAATAATGAATGACAAATGAGTTGATCTTACGAACTGCAGCAAACACAAGGAACCTTTTTTCATTTATACAAAAATAAGATATTTAAGCTGTACTGATTGGACACTGAGAGAATGGAATGCAAGATATCATGGAGTGTTAGCTGGTAAACACCCATTTGTGACCATTAATTAGTTTGCAGTTATTTTGGCATGAACACAGATATCTGTTATAGAATTAAATTGATTTTGCAGTATTGTGTTTTTTTTTTTTCTCTGACAGATCTAGTTTTTAATTTCCAAAATGGAAAAGCATACCCCTGAAAAGCAAGTGCTTTTTCCAAATTCTCCACAATCAGAATCATGTCTAGACACACAGAGAAGTTTGAAGTCCTCTATAAAGAAGCTTAAGGAAGAAAATTTTTCATATAGTATTTCTCAAAACATTTGCTAAGTATATCAACCAAGTTTGCTTTGGGCAGAACAGTAATTTAGACGTACCTGGCTGATAGCAGTTTTTTGCGTCCTCCGTAATCTTTCTGTGTAATTGGGATTCAAATGTGAGCAAAGTGAGGAATCTTCTGTGACAGCACAGGGGGCTCGTGGCATGGAAAGACAACCTGATGGAGGGGAATCTGTCTGCTTAACTTGCAGATGTGCTCCTGAGAACTCCATCTACTGTGGCTAACTGGCTGTGACTGGTTTTTTTTCCTTTCCTCTCTTGTCTTCAGATGGCACAACAAGAAACCCACCAGCCTCCAGTTTAACTCTTTGCTGTGGAACAAGCTCAGAGTGACAGCAGGTGCCTCTTCAGGTTGTAAATATTTGCAGCATATGCCTCTTTACGGTTGAATTTTTTTACGTTGTTAAACCTATCAACCTTGTGATTGTCTTCAGAATTTTTCAGTGCTATTCTAAAATGTAATTTAAAATAAATTTCGAGTTAAAAAATAATTTAAATAGGTAGTAAAAGAAAACAACTCTTGCTGATTGGCATACTACTTTACCCAGGAATGCTCTGCTGCAAGCAGGCAATGACATTGAAAAAGAGCAAAGGAAATGAGAAATGCATGCAGTTCACTGAGTGAGGACTGACTAAAAAGTCCAACTCAAAGTCCACTGAAGTAATTAGAAATGTCTTTTCTTTTCCTTCAGTGGCCTTCTGATCAGACCTTGAAAGACTAATAAAACTTTGCACCCTTCTGTGGCATTTTTCATCAGTTTCGCAGTGCTTTTCTCCAACAACAAATAATGAGACGCTGGGAAGTCCACTGGGAACATATCCTTTCAACAGCTAGCAGTGCTGGGGCACAGAGGATAAGCCACTTGCATAACACAGCACAACAAATAAACAGAAAAACCTGGAAAACAATTTACTCTTCATAGCTCCCTGCTTTTGTTTTCCTGGCCCTACTTCACCCACTCCTGAGTTACAACATCTGCTGCACAGTATTTTAGAAATATCTCAACTCCCATTTGAAACTGCTGTGAGAATAGGAATAGAAGGAACTTGAAATGGAATTTGATTAGTACAGCAAAGCAAACAGACCAAATGTTTGCGAAAATTGTCTTGAGACATTGAATAACTGTAATGCAGATAGGATGTGGTGATGTTTTTCATCTGAAATACAGCAGTGCTAAGGCACTGTGCCCTGTAGCATCCAGATGGGCCTTTTCTACTGAAACAAAGATAAAAGGAAACTTTAGTGCTGAGTTGAATGCTGAAGAACTTCCCCTGAATTTAAGGGCATTCAGATCACATTTATTTGTATTTTCAGTAGTACCTAGATAATACCTGACAGCTTCTTATCTAAGTGTTTGATGTATCCTGACCTTTGTTTGGGTCTGTGGTCAAAGATCTACTGGCAAAAAAACCCAAAACAAATATTCAAGTGAAAAATCCCGTCCTCCAGTTGTGTCACTTCAATATTTTACAATATTTTTAGATTCTTTCTACCAGTTGACATGCCTTATCTTTAGAAATTCTTTTTCCAATTACTGTGGTTGAGAAGATGGAGAAATCAAAGGTTTTTGGCAACAGCATGTCATTTTTGGATGAGGACATGGTCTGTCCAAGCTGGTCTCTAACTGTCAGTGACAAAATGCTTTGGAGAATCTACAGAAAATAGCTTCAGAATAATGTAGCTACATGGTGGGGAAATCATGTTCAAAACTATCCAGGTCATAGCAAGAAGATCTTGGATTTTCATCCTGAATTTAACTGGCAGAGAACCCATGTGAAAAGGAATAAATAGATTTTTCCTTCACAATTTCTATTTTAATAACATTGACAGAAGTAGTATGTTTTCAGCAGATTGTTCACTGTTATGGAAATGCTTTATTTCACTTGATTTTCATCTTCTACAATTAATTTCTTAAAATAATGTGTTGTTTGCATCTTCTCCATTCCAAATCATTCCAATTGCGTTGAGATATTTCCAGGTTTTTCAGCATATTTTCTGCCAGTAAAACACAGTCATCTCTGAGCTGAAATGTGGCTGGCTTCCTGTGGGTTGCAGTAATGCACTCCAGCTCAGCAGGGAAAGGGAAGGCTGCTTTACTCATTTGTGTAGGTTTTGCCAGCCAGAATGCAAATATGCTGGATACTTAGCCAGGACCCACAGGCTGAAACCTGTAGAAAAGGGCACAGGGAGTCTAGCATCCTACAATCTTCAATTTTCTGTCTCATCTAAAACTGACAGTAAACAGTATTTAACTTGTGAGAGAGAGGGCTTTATTTGGATGGCTTATCTAATATATCTGATTGAATCCAGCTGTGCTTTGACTGTCAGATCCTGGACAATCACATTCCAGGGGGCAGTGGCTGCCTCAGTTTGGACAAAATGTTGCCCTTCCCACGGGCCTCCAGGCTGTCTTTAAAGGGAGCAGTACTCTTAAAGCCATTGGAAGTTCATTAAAAAAAAATTCTGCACAGGTATAGGACTGGCATAATAGCACTGAAATCCAGCAGGATCAATATGCTGGCTTGCAATTAAAGCCCATGGATATATCCTTTAAAAGCTCGTAGGAGCTGGGCATGAGAGGCACATGTTTTTGTCCATCTAAAGGTCAGCTCTCAGGCTCAGTAATGCACTCAGGCAAGCAGATGCAGCTCCCGTCCACACGAATTGCTGATGCATTAAGTGTGTGCCCTTAAGGCCTCCTGCTGAAGGCAATGGCAAACATCCAGTTGATTTTAACAGGATTAGCTGTCATAGATCATACTGAATTGTGAGATGCTGGAAGGAACCTCATCTGAAATTTTTTGTCCTCTGTAACTTCTAGTTTTTATCTCCAGCTGGGCTGACCTGCACCTGCTTGTGGCCAGAACTTGGTGGCTTTGTGTTTGCTGCTGGAGCTCTGCTTCCCCACAGGTGGTGGTAGCAGGGAGGAGGAGGAGGGAGAAGAGTAGGGCAGGACAGTAGGAGGAGGGAGGGCTTCTGCAACTGTGGATTTGCAGACGTCTAGACAAGAAGGAGGCAGTCTTCTGCCTTCAGAAAAATGTGTAATTGCTTAACTCAAAATGTTTTATGCCTTTCTTGAGCAGGAATTCCCAGAAACACGCCTTCACCTGGCCTACTTTTAAAGCAACATCCTGGGATATTTGTTAAGGCAGAACTCACAGTCCATAGCTAACAAGCATTTGTTAAGGACAGGCTTGACTTCCAGCTTTGCCTGCCTCTTTGCACCGTGGGGGCTGATGGTCTGCACTGCAGGCTCCAGCTCAGCACGGTGGGTGTAGGAGTGCCCTGCTGACATCTGCTTTTGCAGTGTGGAGGAGGCACTGCTTTCTGGGCCATCGGTGAGGGTGTTTCTGATGAGGCTGTGCTTTTGTGGTTGCATAAGCCACTATGACAGGCCACCAAAAGGACAATCCTGCATCCTTCCCTTGCTCGCACTTCACATTCCCACTGTCCCCTTGTGCAGACAATCATGATCGTACAGCTGAAAGGCAGATTGGAAATATAACTTTAAAACAGAATATATGCATTTGCTCTGTTTACTCTCAGTTTTTGTGTTAGTAGCTTATTTTGCCTGCCCGAGAGAGGGACTGGAGTGGTAAACCAGGAGGTGAAGAGGAAGTGAGGTGGTGGTGGCCTTTTTGGGAGCAGCCAGAATCTAGATAGACTTAAACTGATTGTGAGCGCACTTGTCTGCTAAAATCTCATTCTTTTTGCAAAGCTGCTCTCTCATTCTTCATTGCTGCAACAGTATTGTTAACGGTGTAGTTACTGTGATAGCTCTAAAGGGAAAAAAAGATGGGGCATTGTCCAGTGGTAACAGAGTATACAATTTAAAAATAGTGTATTTATGTTCAATCTGAACATTTTTGCAGACATGGATTATAAAATCTTGGTACCAGGTGTACCTAGTGGATATTTTCCATGAACCTATGGGTGAAATATAAAAAACACTGTTTATTAATCAGCCTTGTTTTAAAATTAAGAATGACTTCTAGGAGAGCAAATCCATAGTGTGAAAACCTAACTTGAACTTATGCCAGAAATGCTAGTGAAGTTTTTTTTTTCCCCCTGAAATATTATATTACGTAAGATTTTATTGAGTTTGTAGAGACAATTAGCTTCCTGCAATTTCCTTAAAAAAATTAAGAATCTTGATTTTTCTTTCATTGCCTCTGTTGTATTTTAAAGAAACATAAAATACTTAAAAATGCAACATAAACCAGGAAATTTATATTCCACCACATTTTGTGTTGTTTAATAGAATTAATCACTGTATAATTGAAATCATGCTAATACTCACTTGACCTGCCTCTCTGATTCAATGCAGAGATTTCTGAGTTGTTTTAACTGCTTGGAAGAAGAATGCATTTTGAGAAATAAAATTGATTTTGCACAATCTGATGATGATCAGGAAAGCTTAATGAATGATTGCCTCAAGAAACCTCATTAAAGTTATTTGGATGGATGAGCAGGAGTGAAATGCAAAAAGAAGAAAGCATAGATGCTGCTTCAATGTCTCACTTATGATATTTGACTCCAGAAGTATCCAAAGCCATCACAAGGAAAGGATCAGATACCCTTGTTTTACTTTCCTTGACACTTCCAAGTTAGTTTGATTCCTTTGGGGAAAAAAGAAGATAAGTTTTTGATTTTAGTAGTAGTATCTATTCTTTAACAGAACAATTCAGTAATTTCACTCCTAGAACTGTCATTGTATCAACTTTATAAATTGTGGAGTATTCCAATCCATTATTGTGTATTTTTTCATTTTTTCAGAATAGTTTAAAGAAGTCTTTGCCTTGAGGCTGTGAATTGGGTGATTGCTGAAGCCTTTTCCTTATGTAGAATCTACTGGTTAGCTCCTTAGCAAAGGTGAGAGTCTTCTGGTCAGCCAGGTTTCAGCTGTTCACCTCACGAAACTTCTGTGACTGACACAGAGCGGTGATCATTTAAGAGAGACTCTGGAATAAGGTTGGTGGGAAGCAGCAGAAAACCAAGTGGAATAAAAATGAAAGCTACCAAAGCCTTGATGGCTTGAGATAAATTTTTGAACACCTTGCTTGTACCATCCATCCTAGCCGCATGTTCGGTTTCAGGGATAGTAGATATTCCCTACATACCAGCCTCTGCATTTGTTTTTATTTAGGGCCATGCTACAGCACTGGGCATTTCTTGAAAATGATTGAAAACGGGGAACAGATAGTTCTGACTGCCAGTCTCTCCTCTCTGTTGTCTGAGAGAGTGGCTGTTTTTCTGACAGAACCTAGGCTTTCATTAAGACCTAGCTGGTTTTTCCTCTCCATGAGATGATTCTGTAGACCTCAATAACAACTGTACAAGGGAATATATGAAGTGAAATTTCCCAAATTCTGTAGGAAGTAGAAGCTGCGCAGCAGAGTAAGAATTGAGATATATGATTTTGGTACCACATGGTGTGAGTGCTGAATCTCAGGCTGGTCATCTGGTGGCTGTAGAGCATGGCTTTCACAGAGAAAGCTGTCATGCAGCTGGTTAAGGATATGACTATGCCCCCAAATTGCATATTAATTTTCTAGTTTTCTCGAGCATTTTAGAGAAAATTAATCTAAGATTTGCAGTCAGCCCTCCACTAACATGCTTTTAAATAATTTAAATTCTTGGTGGCTCATTTTTTTAATCTGTTATTTGGAATAATATTTATTTATTCTTCCTTTTGGGAATGTTTTTGAGTTTATTTTGTTAGTGTTTGTAAGGGAGTTGGAGATCCTAGACACTATATATATATATATATATATATATATATATAATTTTACAGTAGCCTTACAAATCACAGCACTATTTCAAGTCATAATTTTAATAACTTAACCATAATGAGGAATAGAAAGCACTGCTTACCTCCCAAAGCCCTGTAATATGCATAAACAACTCTGAGAGTTTAGTGAGTTATATTCTGCTTGGTCAGTCCACAGAGAGATTAATAATGGTTGGATTTTTGTGGAACATTTGAAAACTTAAACTTTAGGTCATGTGGGTGTGCATGTATTTTGATACCTTCAGAACATTAGTCTTCCTTGGAAGCAGGCAATGCAACAAAATTAGAGTTTTATGTTAGAAGTCATGCTTTATTTTCCTTCTGGTCTCCAAACAATTATTTTTAAAATCTTATTTAACTTCAATATCAGGTTGGCAGCCTTTCCTTAGTATTGTTGGAGTTTTGCTGAAGAGTTAAGTTTTCGTTTGAAGATCCAGTGTTGTGGAAAATCAAGAGGAAACAGAGAAACACATGCAAATCAAGCACTTACTGAATAATGCGTTCTTGCATCTCAATCAGGCTTATGTGTGCAAACTGATTCTCTCAGTGTAGACCTATGTGTATAAAAAATAAGTGATATGGGCAAGTGTGTAGCATCATGCAGGTGTTAACATGCGCTTACACAGATTTTATGAGTTAGGGGCAAGGTTAATTTCAGCAGGATTCACCGAGGGCTGGTCAGGACCCCTACTGCCCATAGAGTCTGGTTAAGTGATGGAGGCAGGCTGCAAAGCTGTTGCTGTGTGCCTGGAGAGTGGAGCTTCCTTCAGCTCCCAGCATTTGTTCCTTTCTCACATTCTTGCATGGCTGTCCAGCTCCAGCATGCTCTCCCTGTCCTGTGTGCTGCCTCAGCACACACACACACAGAAACACACAAACACACACACACCTGTCATTGTGATTTAATGTGTGGTCCAAAATCTGAGTTTGTGGCTTTAATGGCACAGTGTGCAGTGCACCTGGAGATGATGGATTCAGTCCAAAATTTGAATGTACAGGTGTGGCCTGGCTGTTAAATACAATGTGCTGATGAGGGGTGCCACTCTTTCTGCAAAGAAGGCAGGGGTTGAAAGACTGAACAACTTAAGGGAATGAACAGCACTAAGACAAGCTGGCACTTCAATGGCCCATATTACCCAGGGTCATAAATTTCAAGCATAAATTATAACAATTTCTCCCTTTGTACTTAAAATTTCTATGTTCATGTGAATTTTGGGTGGAAATGTTGAGTAAAGTTCCACTGACGAGATCAGAACTTTGCAAGGAGAGAAGAAAATTTATACTTTCTAGTGCCCATCTATGTGATCTATGGACTTTTCTGTTGGTTTTTTTTCTGCCTGCAGGTATATATAGCTCTTTTCTTTCTATTGCAGAAGCAGCCTACAAAAACAGACACAGTTGTCGACTCTCAAGGTGTGGATGATCATGGGAGAACAACTGTTAAAGAACAGCATCCTTGATCAATTTATTAATAGCCATGAGCAGTCATATGAAGAGTTTCTAAATACATTCACATATCTTTTTAAAGGTATGTAATTTCCCAAATCTCTCATTAGATATCATAGACAAAAGAAGAGGTAAAAAGAGAAGCAGTGGTATTTTGTATCTTTGTGCTACTCACCTGCTTTGTGACTTTAGGCAAATCCTTGTGATGCTTTTGTTTTTCCACTCAGCAGTGGGAACCTTAAGGACAGCTTTCTACAGATTGGTTCCCAGGCTACTATGTCTCTACAGGTGGTTAGCCATTTGTGCTTGCTTCAGGGAGGTGGGGGGAACATGCACTGTTTGGAAAGATAGATGTTTCCTAAGTACATCTTGCATTGTTTTGCTTGAGAAGTCTCTATAAAAGAAGAGCCCAAGGAAAGTACTTAATAGTGTGAGATGGCCTGAGATTAGGAGTGTGCAATTTGGGTACTTTTACAGGTTTACTAATGCTAGCCCACTGTGCTGTGCCTGTGTGTGTGCCTTCTACAAAGTGATTGCCTTCTATGATGAAACAGCTACCTGGAGGGATGTGGATATTGTCTAAATTGATTTCAGCAAGGCTTTCAACACTGTCCTTCGCAACATCCTTGTTGGCAAACTCAGGAAGTGTGAACTGGATTAATGGACAGTGAGGTGGGTTGAGAACTGTCTGAGTGGCAGATCTCAGAGTGTTGTGATCAGTGGCACAGGGTCTGGTTGGAGCCCTGTCACTGGTGGTGTCCCCCAGGGTTCAATACTGGGCCCAGTCTTGTTCACCTAATTCATCAATGACTTGGAGGAAGGGGCAGAGGCCTCCTCAGCAGGTTCCCTGCTGACTCAAAGCCAGGAGCAGCAGCCCATACCCCAGAGGGTTGTGCAACCCTTCAGAAGGGCCTCGACAGGTTGGAGAGATGGGCAGAGAGGGACTTTCTGAAATTCAAGAAAGGCAAGTGCAGGGTCCTGCTCCTGGGGAGGAAAAAGCCCCTGGACCACCACAGGCTGGGGCTGAGCTCTTGGAAAGCAGCTCTGTGGAGAAGGGCCTGAAGGTCCTGGTGGAAAACAACCTGTCCATGAGCCAGCAGTGGCCAAGAAGGCCAATGGGATCCTGGGGTGCATTAGAAGAGCATTTCCAGCAGCTCACAGGAGGTGATCCTGGCCCACTACTCAGCCCTGGTGAGGCCCAGTTCTGTGGCCCAGTTCTGGGCTCCTCAGAACAAGAGAGACTTGAATGCTAGGGAGTTGATCCAGTGAAGGATGACAAAGATGATTGGGAGAGTGCACCATCTCTCACTTACGAGGAAAGGCTGAGGCAGTCTGGCCTGTTCAGCCTCAAGAAGAGACGAATCAGAGTGGACCTTACCAGTGTCTGTAAGTGGGTACAGGAGGGTATCAGAGGATGGAGCCTTTCTTGTGGTGCCAAGCAACAGGACAAGAGGCAATGGGCAGAAACAGATGCACAGAAGTTCCACCTGAATATGAGGAAGCACCACTTTACTGTGTGGGTGAATGAGCACTGGAACAGACTGCCCAGAGAGGATGAGGAGTCTCTCTCAATGGAGATACTCAAAATCTCTTTGGATACAAGGTGCCCTGCTTGAGCAGGGGGGTTGGACTGGATGACCCACTGTGGTCATTTCCAACCTGACCCATCCTGTGGCAAGCTAACAGGCAACTTGGATGAAGGTACAGCAGGACATCAGATAGATGATTAGGCTGAAAAGATCTCGTGCTCTGAAGATGAAATATAAAAGTGAAGCTTAACCTTGATCTGAACATGGCTGAATTCCAGAATTCCAGTTCTGTAGCTGAGGTTCACATTTTTGAACCATGTTCAGACATGTGCCGTAAAAATAAGTGCAACCTACATATTACTCTCATTTCTCTTTACCACTGCTTTGCACTAAAAGTGATGTCCTCATATTATTGCAGAAGCACTGTATTTTTCAATTACAGCGTGTGGCATGCCCCATTGATTGGTACTCAGAAGTCTGTCCTGTCCTTATCCTTCAGGCAAAACTAAGTGTCAGTCACAAGCATTGAGCAGAAAACCAGTGGGGGAGTTGAAGCTGCCACAGAAATAATCTTGTGGCTACTTTCTGTCTCTCCTCCCTATAAAATATAGAAGAGAAAGGAGACACTGGAGGATGAGATAAGAGGATTGAAAATCCAGTTCTGGTCTTCTTATGTATGATTGATACACTGGGGATAGCTGCTATCGTAGAAGCATGCTGCATATCATGATGCTACTTGCAAAAAGCCTCAGCGTGTATTTCAGTCACTTTCACTGTCACTGTAGGCATTTGCCACTAAAATCATATGAGGGGTAGAGCTTTACCTGAATCAAATGCATAGAAATGTAGGTTCTTATGATTGTATGAACTGAACAGCTCAACTTGTTTTCCTCTCACTCTCATTTTTCTTTAAAAGTACCCAGCATGCTGGTTTGCATTATAAACTAATAACCTGCAAAAATTCTACTTAAAGCATAAAAAATACATTGTCAGCTGAAAGATTTTTGTCTGTTGTAACACAGGAAACAGAAAACACAAAACTAATTGGATCCCATTGATTTCAGAGAGTAACATATTTACAGAAGGTGATTTTCGCTTGCGCATGAATTTATACTAGGTGTGCAGTTTGCATTGCAAGGATATTTTCAGCTGAAGTTTCTGTTATTCTTGTAAGCATCTCATAAGAATCTGACATGCTAGTGATTTAAAAATTTTTCTTCATATGTTAAATTTACACACAGTGAAGCTGTAAAGAATGTGCCTTGACTAGAGAAACCCAAGCATCCTTGGCTGTTCTGGCCCAGCTAAAAAGAGCCTTTTGAGGCTATAAATAGCCTGGAGTGACCCCCTGTGAGCACATTAGGACCTTCTGTTGAGGGTATAGTTTCATTCTTATAAATGTGGGAAATAGAATTCATTAATTTTTACATTCCTGACTTCAATTTGGCTTTTTAGGAATTGCTAATATCCTAATTAGAAAATCATATTTTTAGAATGTTTTCTTTTTATTGTATCTGAATGTGTGATATTACCTTTGACTGCTTCTATTCTTCCTTGTGCTATTTGGAAAGATACTCTTTTCATTCCTATAGAACAAGATCTGGAGTCAAAATAAGTCCTTCTAAATTCTGTGTAATTGGTTTCATGATGTGTGTTTGGTTTAACAAGCACAGAGATATGTTATAACTTAGCTGGACCATAAAATTACATCTTTCATATGAGATTTTAATCTTCCAGATTTTAGTATTCCTAAAAATCCCAGTGGTTCTGTTTCTTAAAGTGTGCTTGGTGCAGTGAAAAAATGAGAGTTCATAGACTAACTGACAAGTAAATCCTATAAAAGGACTATTACTTCAGATCTGATGGAAAGTGGATAAACATACATAAATAAATATATTTCTAAAACTCAGAATTCAGCATTTAAAACATACTGCTCCAACAGAACATGACCTATATAGCTTAAATAAATAATATTTTAAAATTATAGGAGTACTTCCTCCATAAGCAGGAAATTTTTAAAACCTTTTTCATTGATTCTGTAATGGATGGGCATTTGAAGGCTAGGTTAAGATTCTAGTTAAGTCTCTTTATTTTTCCGATCTAGAGCATCCAAAGTGTGTTTTTTGTCATAGGGATAATATTAACAAGATGGATATATAGGTGAAAGGGCTGGTGAGCCCACAGGGATGTAATTTAGCAATTAGAACATGTGTCTAGAAAGCTGAAATATTTCCTACTTGCTGTAAAGCTTTGCAGTTGAAGGAGCCTCAGAAGAGCTGAATTTCCAAAAGAGTGCATCATACAAATTTCTGTAGATGTGGTCAGAGTGGTATGTTCAGAACTACAGACTTCCTAGAAAAACTTTGGACAAAATCTCGTGGAAATCCATCCAACCCTGCTTTTGAAAAAAATTGCCACAGAGGACAAAAGCCTCTTTCAAATCTGAGGAAGAGTGTTTGAAATCTGGTGCAGAGCTATGACGCTCAAAATCAGAAGGCAGCATCTGCTCATTTTTTTAAACTCAGAGGAAGAGTGGGAAATTCACTGGAGCATAAAATATCTCATTTGACCTTACACAAAAACACAGAAAAAATGGTCCAAGCTTCAAAATTTTCATCTAGATTTTAAATTATTCCTCTCCCACTTCTAAAAATACGTGATTAGGGATCTTTCAACTGGATAGGAAAATACCGCCATGAATAAAATTACCCAAATCGAAGTTAAGATTTACATTTTTTTCATGATTCTGGGCATTTGACCACTAGGATTAAATGAATTCCATTCCTGCTGTTAATTTTTCTCTATTTCATACACCTCCCACTGCCTGGCAGTGTGTTGAAGTCCAGGGACCTTGACTAGACCCATCTAAGCAAGCCACAGCTTGGATTGAAACTTTGCAGCCTCGCTGCTGTTGTTTTGATGCTTCTGTGCTGCACAAGCTGTCAAGTGGAGGAAGTTTGGAAGTGACTGATCACTTTTGTGCTTACAGGTGGCATAAAAGAGCCATGTTCTGTGTTGTGCTCAGATTAACTTAATTCCCCAGTGAAAGCTGGGCAAGGTATTCAGTTTACAGTCCATTAGACTGTAGCTGTCTGCTTCCTTTTTACATTAACCACATTTAGGAAAAACAACAGCTTAAAACTTCCTATATAAGTGTCAGTGGAGGCACTTTACAAATGTCAGTCTTCACAGCAGAAAGCATAGCAGATAACTGTATAAGAAGTGACAGTAAATGCACTTTTGTTTTAAAAATGGACCAGTAGGACAATGGCAACCCCAAGAGAAATTTCAGCCTATGAGTAGGTTTGCCAATAAAAGCAACTAGAAACTTCAGTAAAACTAATTAAATTAATCTGTCATCCCCAGGGAATTTTAGCAGGGCATGAAATAGAGGAACAGCGTCAATTCAGAGCTTTTTATTGATGTGTTGTGCTGGATCATTTGATAGAATCGGTTGGGAGACAAAATTTGCAATTTTCTATTGATCATAAATTCAGTAGCTATCTCTATGTAGCTTTTATTCAATATAGTATAAAATCAAATACCATACAGA